GTGTGGCATCCAGCGTGGCATAAATGAAGGTTGGAAATAGTATCTCTCTTTAAATAAAAGCTGAGCCCACAGGCACTGAGCACACAAACATGAGATGCTTTGTAATTCTGGGAGGGCTCATGAGATTCRGTGTATGTCCTGAACCCAGGAATGCTCCAGTCTTCACTCCTCAGACCAAGTATTTTCTTTGCATGGATTTTGTATCTGTAATGCAGAAGTGGCAAGGAAACATTCTAGATGAATGCAGCCCACCCAGCAGTGAGACCATGCTGGGGAATCCTTCCTTGCTGGCAGCATTAGCAGAGGCAGGTGACTGGCTTTCGAGGATACAAAGTGTGATGCAAAGTCCTTTCTCCCTCCTGCACACCCAGATTTCTCACACCTGCTGGTTTGCATTTGACAGAGGAGGTTCCCTTCCTCCTGCAGCATTCCTGCTTGAAAGGCTCTCCCAGCAGCTTGCAGTATCATCTGTTCCTCCTCCAGCTTTGTAAGATTTTCAGCAGCCAAAATTCCCCCAGTTCTGAATCTTACAGTGGCTCCCACCTGCCCATGTGTGTGTGCAGGGTGGGTTAGTGGAGATGGGAGCAGCCCTCCCCTTTGTATGTCCTGGCTGATGCCGCCCTGGGCCATGAGCTCCCAAGGACTTGCTGGTCTGCTGTAGCTGTTCTGAGATCCCAGACCCTCAGACTCATCTCCCCACAGAGACCAAGGGGCTTGTCTTGCTCTTGTGCCACCCATTTCCTCCGAGATGWAGTAAATACTGTGGTTTATTCCTGACTGAGGCCGTTTGCCCTGCCTGGAGCCTTCCCCAGGCACTTGTACAGCCACGAACGTCCCTGCTCCAGATAAAGGGCCTGTCTGGRTCCTGGGCAGGGAATAGCCCCTGGTGCAGAGCTGCTCCTCTCCATCTTAGGTGGTGTTTGCTGTGTGTTTGTTTAAGGAGCTCCTCTTTCTGCCCTCTGCCTCTGGAAGCAGTCCCTGGGAGCTGCACCCCCTGTCCCAGCCCGGGAGCTGCCCGGGAGCCCTCACTGCTGTGGAAGCAGAGCTGTCCCTTGTCACCGAGTGTAAATCTGAGCCCAGAGACACCAGGCAACTGCAGCCAAAATAGGATTAATGGCATCTGCTGGGAGCACATCCCAAGGACTGCTATTGATGACCATGGCTTTAAAATACTGTTAACAGTGGATAAAGCACCGTGATTTCGAGCACTCGACAATTACATCTCTGTTTGAAATTTCCTAAAGATAGGATCAGACTCCTGAGTCCTGCTCTCTGCTTTTTCGATAGAACTAATAAAAATGGAGATACSCAATTAGAGAGCATGCAGGCTGCTAGGGCAGATCAATGCCTTGTAGTAACCTAATGAAGTGTTAAATTAYGTCTTCCTCTGTCCCCCAATCACACCCACCCCAGGCTGTTGGCAGAGAGCTCAGGGCCTGGGGGAGAGATCCCTGCATTCCTTTACCCCAGCACTCCTGCCTCCTCTCCAGGGTTGTCTTCTGTGGTTTGGGACTGTCTTGGGTTTTGTGTTGATCCTGGGGTTTTCAGCAGGGGAATGTGGGGATTTGTGCCCGCAGAGCTGGGATGTCCCAGCAGGGAGCAGGAGGCATGGATGAGCCAGAGGAATCAGCTCTGTATTGCAGGGTGTGTCCTGGAGAGGAGCAGGGATGGCTGTGGATGGGCTCAGCTTGGTCCAGCCTGGCTCTGGATGAGGCTGGTGGCAGCCTAACACAGCTCTACCTCCAGGCAGGGTCTTCATCCTGTGAATTCCCAAACTTGTCCCCTTCACCAGCTGTGACAAGGCTGCACTGGCCAAATGCTGAGCTGGGGACAAACAAGGCTTCTGGACAGCATGGCCCTGCTCATACTCTCCAGCCCTTCTCAGCCTTTCCCTGACTAAGAGTAATTTTTGACTGCAGCTTCACTGCCCGGGGACCAGCAGTAATCCTGTGCAGATGTCCCTTATCAAAACATTTCTGTCTCTGACAGGGTGACAGGCCACTTAGGGAGCATGYCTTGTGGCCAGACCAGTGTGAATGAGTGATTTCCATCATGAGGAGGGGACCTGAGTGGTCACAGGGACATGGCCTGGTGTGCACCTCAGGGGACAGTGCCATTKGACCCCCAGCCTGCTGCCCTTCTTGCATTTCCTACACCCCACTGCTGGCTGTGCCAGGCCCTGGTGCTGGTTTACATGGCCCTGTTTCTCTTGTGGCTCTACTGCTGTCCTGGAGGTGAGTTTGGGGTCCTGAGTGCATCTGCAAGACCCTTGCCCACCCCAGCAGGCTTGCCCCATGCACCTGCCTGCCTTCCACACTTCCCTGGCTCTGGGCTTTGGAGCATTGGCTTCATGGTTAGCGGTGTCTGTGGAGCTGTGCCGTGTCTTGGCCATCTAGGGCATGGGTTTTCCTCCCAGTTACCCCTTGTACCTGGGATCTGTATTCTCAGGAGCCGACAGAGCTCTTTCTATCCTGTGGAAATAGTTAATTCAGTGACATCTTCAGTGCAGACCACCAGCCCTGCCTGTGGATGGCTCCTGCCCATCCTGGACCTGCTGATTGCTTCAGTGGTGGCCGTGGCCAGCAGCAGCCTGGCTGCACAAGGCACGCTTTGATTAAAGCCTCAGACACTGCTTAGGTGATTTTCCTCAGCCTGACCCGGTCTTTGTGCATCTGCCGCACGTCCCGGTGAGACTGAGATGTGCCGCAGGGGATGCTCAGCGTTCCGGGGTGACTTTGTCACTGTGCCTGTCCCTGGCTGGACGTGTTCACCAGGACATCTCCGCACCCGGTGCCCCACAGCGCYTGTCTGGGGCTGGACAAGAGGGCAGAGACCAGACCCATTCCTGCGTCTCCCACCCTGGCATCCTGCAGACYCCCATCTTTCAGTGCCCAGAGGAAYATTTAGGGGAGGATGTTGTATTTTTCCCAAGCAGAGAAAGGCTGAAAGGCTGTGAATCCTGGCAGAATGCCCAGCCCTCGTGTCTGCGAAGGAAAGGAGCTCTAACCAGCGATCAAGTGAGTTGTGTCCCCTTTTTTCTGCACAGTGGGGAGAGTGGGATATGTCAGCCTGGGTCTGGGGCTGCCTCATCCTACCCTGTGATGCCCACCAGACTGCGCAATTTCCCCCCTCTCCCCAGTCTGGCAAAGCATCTCTTGTTTGCCTGCAGGAACAGGAGCACTTAGCTAGGATAAAAATAGCCATGTTTGCCTCCCAATGGACCAGGGATGGCAGAAGGTGAAAACCTCCCTGTGCAGCTCTGCTGGGCTTGCCACATCCATAGCAGGATGGACCCCAAGGAAGGGGAAGTTGGGGGATGAGCTTGGGCATGGATCACACAGCCCTCCCAACCTGCTTCCCTGGGACACTGCTGGTCCCCAAGAGCCACCAAGAAGATGTGGCTGAAGATGTGGTGGAGAGGTTGGAAGAAGGAGGTTGAGGAGGCCAGGGAGCAGCAGAATGGACAAGCCCAGAAGTGCGGGGGATCTGTGAGCTGGCCAGGCTCCAGCTTTGGTTGTCAGACTAAGCATTGTCAGGGGGCATTGCCAGAGCTGTCCWGGGAGTTTCTCTCCAGCCACTCAGTGCATGCAGGTTCTGTGCATTGGCCGGGCCACAGGGAGGGCTGGGGGAATGTGTTTAGTTCTCTGAGCATTTCTCCACTGCGTTTTCCTTGCTAAATGGCTCTTATTTTTAGATCCAGGCAGTTGCTAAGCATCACTGCCTCGCTAAGGCGGCTTCTTTCATGGCTTGACACCAAAGCACGCTGACAACACGCTGCCTCGTGAGCATGGCCCTCCCTCCTCRCTGATCTGGATTCCCTTCTGCCCTGCGGCTCCTGGGGCTGGGCATCGGGATCGGGAGGGATGCTTTGCCTCCTCCCGCARCCCCTGCACTCCTCTGTCTCTCTGCATGGATAAGAGAATGAAGGAAGGAGCAATGGGAAGCGATGGGAGCTGGGCAGCCCCTGAGATGTGCCCAGGACCTCTCTCACAGTGCAGTCAGTACTCAGGCAGTGGCATGACAAAAGCCCCTGGCTTTGTCCATGGAAGGGACTCTCCAGCACAGTCTGCATCCCCCGGGGATGGCATCCTACACAGATGGCAACAAATAACCAGGGGCAGCAGTGGGACATCAAGTTCCCAGTGCCAGMTGTACCGGTGGGCTGTGAGCTCCTCTCTCGGCAGCACCGTGCCTCTGGAAGCCTCCCCAAGTATGCAGCTGCTTCATCCTTTCCTTGGGGCTGCYGGGGATGGGGGTAAAATCCTGCTAAAAACTCCAACCCTGCATGGAAAGCCATGCTCGGGGTAGGGACGGCAGTGGGACCTGCTTCTGTGCTTGGCTGCAGGCAGGGGACCTGGCCACCCTCCCCACATGTCTCCTGCATCTCTTGACCCCTGCCCATCCCCTCYGTCTCGGACCGATTTCTCATCCAGATTCTCCCCCAAGGCGGAGATGCAACAGCCCCGYGGGGTGGGCAGGGCTGTGGTTCCCCTTCCTGGGTGTCCCACGGCGCACCCGGTACGGGCACGGACAGGCAGGGCTCGGGGGTCCGTCGCTCTCTCACAGTGGCCTCTGGGGCTCTGCGCCCCTCCTTCCCCGCGCCTTTCCCATCTCTGTCCCGGCGCCGTGTCTGACCCCCGGGGCTCTCCCGAACCGCCAGAGACCTCATCTCGGTGCGGTCCGGAGCGGCTGTCTCCCTTTCTCATCCCGGGAGCGCCCCCCACTCTCCGCCCCCCGCCCGTGCCTCAGTTTCCCCGCGGCGGCGGGGCCGGGCTGGCGGCTCCCGG